GGGGGGGGGGGGGGGGGGGGGGGGGGGGGGGGGGGGGGGGGGGGGTACCTTAGTTTGGTGGGTGTGGCATCTCCGCAGGCAGACTAAAAACGTTGTGGTATTATACGGGGTCTCACGTTTGGCGTGGGTAAACAACAAACGAAAACGTCGTGCTTGTTTTGGATTGTTTTTACAGGTACGTGTATCGTACCATCGCCGGACCGGGGTCGTTTGTACCTCCGGTTGTCCTCCCACACGTATTTGTTGGGGGAGTAGGCGGGCGGCAAACATGCGTACATGCAGTCACTTAGGACGTGCCGCTATTCCGCCACACGCTCCTTTCCTCCTCAAAAGCGGTGGTTTGTGTCTGGGTGCAGCACCTGGCCCAACGTGGATCGTGTCGCCAAACTCATACCGTACGGCTCTTCCTTTTTCGCATACACAGCGGCTTAGGACTGCCGCTGGTAGGACCCTTGCGACTGCCGTTGGTAATACCCGTAGGACTGCCGCTAGAACCGTTGGGGTCGTTGCCAACGAAGCTGTCTATGTAGCACAACCCCCGTCTGCCGTGGCAGTACCCGAGACATAGCGTTCGTTACGCACCGTGTTGAGAGATAAAACAATAGGCGGTGTACAGGTGGGGTGGGTTTGGTGTGCTTGTTGCTCGTTTCTTATGTGTCTTATATATGTCGAGTAATCATGCGTTGTTCTTCGTTAGGTAGGGTGGAAGGGCGAGGGCGTTTGTTGTCGCTCAAGCCATGCAACGTTCACCTCCATGTACCTTCCTTGGACGGCAGGCCAGCTTAAAACACTCGTAGGAGTTTCGATTTCTTTCCGACGCTCGCCGTGCGGGCGCAGCGGGCGCGTTTTTTGCGTTGGTGGAGGGCAAGCATCGCGAAACCAGTCCAGTTCTAGCTGCCGAGTTTTGAGGGAGTTGTATATACATGATCTTGTTGTATTCGTGCAGCTCGAAAAATGCGCACACCGTATATACACTATTTTCGTGCAGTATATAACCGTGGTGCTTCCTTTTTCTCGCGTATGTCGGTAGGATAAAACATGTTCTTCCACGTCCTCGATGAACTATTCATGATCCGAAATTGTCCTTCGGTAGACATCAAATGAGGTCTCCTTCAGTATCCTTCTATTCTTCGGCGTTTTTTGACAGAAGATTGGTATTTTCCTCTCGGAGCAGGAAGGCTCCCTGCGTATTTTGGTGTGTGTGCTGCTGCAGCAGCCTTTTCCTTTTTTTTTTTACGTCTGTTTCATCCTGTGCTGTCCGCAAAATCGCATTTTTTTTGTTTTTGGCTGTGACGGCGGTAACGGCGGGCGTGGAGGGGGGCGTACTCTTATGTTTTGCATGCCTTAGCGGTTATACCATTGACCACGCGTCCTCGAGAGGACGGAGCATTGTTCCCACAGAACCGATCACCGATGGCCAACCGCTCCTTCCTACTTTGCCAAAGGTGGCTCAAAAATGTCTTCCGTGGCGGGCGGGGGGGGGGTAGTAACTGTAACGTTGTCTCATGTCCACTCTAAAGCACTATTTTTGGCGACTCGATGCCCAAAAAAGGTTCGATAACCATTTGTTAGCGGAGATCTCCCCTTCCAAGTTTGTTTACTGCTGGTGCAATCTTTTTAGCAGATCCTTTTTGGCAACTGACTCAAGAAACGCTTGCTTGCCTGTTGCTGCTATTTGGATTTGACCAAAACAACAAAGTAACGACAACAACACCTTGCAAGCTGGACCCGGCGTGAAGCTTTTCGTATCACAGGACACGTGTTTCTATCACAAGCGTGGGGTGTCTTATCGCTTCCTTCCTTCACGAAGCCCTTTGGTCTGTAAATACCCATACGAATGGGTGGTGGCTTTGCAAACGGTTGCCCAAGGCAAGGGCGTACGGGTGCCGTGCCTCTTCTGCTCTCTCTGTCCGTCTCTGTCTCTGCCTGCCTGTCTGTCTGTCTGTCTGTCTGTCTATGTCTCTCGACGTGACACTGCTGCAAACAGATCGATGCAACAAGAAAACTTGATGGGCGAGTGACTAGAGGAGCGGTAATTAAGGAAGACAAAGACACCCGTTCCACTCCACTTCACCAGTGGCGGGTCGACAGCGAAAAAAAACGCATCACGCCGCAAAAAGAAGAGAAAAGAACAATAAAATAGTCCTAGGCAACCAACAACTAATTCGATCGACCGAGACCCAACACAACGCACCTCCGGCACAGCAAGCTACCAGCTGGGGTCGGGTCAGGCAGCATGACAACGTATGTAGTACGAGGGGAAAGACGAGCCTGCAAAAAATCAGCAGTGGACGATGGAAGCCCGGAAGCTGGAAACACGACCGGCTGGCCTCTACTACCCCGCCACCACACGGTTATTACACCGCGCTTACGGCGAACACAAGCTTTCCCTGTTCGCCCCGTCCTTGATGTCCCATCCGCCGTCCGCCCTCAAAACAACACTATGAGGAACCAAACAACCCTTTTCAAGTTGGCAATTGGTCGCGCCCTCGCGGGTTCGAGCACCAAACGCAGGCAAGCAGCAGCAGCTCCCCGTATATCAACGCAGCAGCAGCAGAAGCAGCACGAAAAAAGCTACCAAAGCGGCATACGCACTGCAGGATCTACCATAGTCGCACAAGAAGAGCATATATATTCGCATACACGACGGCCACGAAAAGAAAACAAAACGACACACACATCAGGATTCCAGGGTGGCGTTAGGGGGGTAGAGGTGAAGCGTCAACATTCCCACGTCCATCTGCATCCATCCGTTACCACCATCGGCACAACCAGCTGCCGTCACCATCTTCCGCGTCTGGCGGTCGACCTCGAGATCACGGAATCCGCCACCGTGATGGCGCTGCCCTTCGACATGTCCCCTCCCCCCGCCCCCCCTCCGCGAGCCCCCTGCATGCTGCGTCGCCTAGCCGCAGATGCAGCAGCGGCGGCTTCCGCCAACCCCCCTCCCCGTAGCCCGGCTTGCTGCCCCCCTACGCTCCCGCCACCGTGGCCATCGGGGTATCCCCTTAGCCCTCTCCCCCCTGTTCTCGGGCCGATGCCGTGCTGCTGTCCCGTTGTCGACGTCATCGTCGGCACGCCACCGCCTCCGCCGCCGCCCAGGGCGGAGTTCCTGGTGCTGCTGGTGCTGCTGTTGATGTCATCGCTGCCGCCGCCCCTGACTACCACTCTCTGACCCCCGCGGTTTCTGTACTCCAGCCTCCCCCCGCCGCCGCTGCGGCCGTCGTTGCATTCGCTGCCTCCCCTCGCCCCGCTAAACCTGCCAACGGCGCCGCCGCCGCCGGTGCTGCTGCTGCCTACCCCGTCTGATACGGCAGTACTTCTCAAGCCCCCCCCGCCGCCAGTACGCAAGGTACCGGCCCCGGACGCGGGTGCCGGCGGTGGCGGCGGCAAGGCCTCGACGTTCCCCTCCACGAAGCTTTGGAAACCCTCTCGCGCGAAGGCGACCAGACCGCCGGAGAGCACGAAGATGTTGTCGAACCCCCTGTGAATCAAGGTCCTCGCGGCCTGACAGGCGTTATTAGATGCGAAGCGGCGTCGGGGGGGGCGTACTCTTATGTTTTGCATGTCTTAGCGGTTAGACCATTGACCACGCGTCCTCGAGAGGACGGAGCATTGTTCCCACAGGACCGATCACCGATGGCCAATCGTTCCTTTCTACTTTGCCAAAGGTGGCTCAAAAATGTCTTCCCTAGTCTGTCTATCCTAACGATATCCCTTCCCGCCTTTTCAACCCACCTCCTATGCCCCAGTACAGCTACCGTCCTTTCCTCTCTATTCCATGCCTCAAACATCTCCCTGTACGTTCCATCTATTTTTCCCAGCTCAGTCACGTACACTTCCCTCTCCTTCTTGTACAACGGACATTCCGCGACTACATGAACACGGTCTTCGCATTCGAAGCCGCAATCACATTTGAACTCGTCGTCTTCCTCGTCTACCGTCCTATGTCTTCGTCGACGTTCTCGAAGGCCTATGTCCCCGGTCCTGAATTTGACCTTAAGCTTTGTTCCTGCATCCATTGGTCCATGTAGGTAGTCCTTGAACCCTATTCCTTCCTTCAACATTCCGTACACTTCTAGACCCTCCTTATCCTTGGCGTCGGGGGGAGAGGAGTGATAAGTGTTGGGAGAATTGTGTGCAAGCACTGACTCTATTCTACTGCAGGGTTTGGGCAATGTGTGAAATAATGATCACTCTGTGTTTCTCTACCCGAGCCTCTTGCGTCACATACGCCAACCACAACGTACAACAGCGGTGAGGTCCGGCTAGTACGCCCAACAATAAGGGGTTGTGGCGAGGAAATGTGAGGAGAGAGGCACAAAGATAGAGAGAGGCAGAACACAGGGTTCAAAAAAGAAAAAACAGATGAAGCCAAGACAACAAAAATCAAAGCACCACGTTAACTGTTTTGTCAAGGCAGGAGGCGCAGAAGGGATGAGCGGGGGGTTGAGGGTTTCAACCCTTGCCCCCGCACTCTCCTCCGCCCGCCCACGCCGCCGCATCCTCTCCCTCTTCTATTTCTCACGTGGCAAGCATCGGCATCGTCGTTCGAGTAGAGGATCACCAGCCCGCCCTCCCGGTTCTTGTACATGTAGAGCTCCGGCGTCATTCTGTCCTGGTTGAGCAGCTTGGCCTCGAAAGATCGCGCCTTCCGAGTCGTTCGTTCACCCGGTACGGCCAGCAGAAGAGGGAGGGGGGGGGGGGAGGACAACAGGCCAAAAAGTAGGCGAAAGTCAACCAACAAATGTGGTAGTCTTGATGACGACACCCCCCCCATTTTCGCTGCATCGTAGTACAACACCACCGTACTGCTGTACGATAATGGCTCCGTTTATGCTGTCTACTGCCATGTCCGTCGCGGCGTAGGACATAACCGTAAGGCACTGGCCACGGGAATCGACCGGTCATGTGCTTGATCAGTACGGACAGATGAAGGTGCTGAGTGGAAAGATCGGAACGGTTTTTAACGTGAAGGCAACAACAACTACAAGAAGAAGAACAACAACAACTGCAGGTCACCTGCACAATGCGGCACCGCTTGAACTCCTCGGGGGTGCGGACGTCGAGGACGAGGTAGGGGCGGTCGTAGCTCGGCTTGGCGTCGGGCTCGTACTCCACCACTTTGGGGCCGTGGTGGTCGGGGTCGATGTGGTCTCGGAAGTCGTGCACCCCCTCTTGTTGGTCCTGCTTCGTTTCGTCGTTGGTTGGTGTTGGTCAAATCGCTTTTCGCTGCCGGTGGTGTTTTCGTTTCTTGTTCTCGGTGTTTTCGTTTCTTGTTCTTGGTGTTTAGGTGGGTGTTGCTGGCGATGTCCGTTGAAAAGCGCAAAAATAGAAGAAAAAAAAAAAGTCAAAACCATTCCATGACGCAGGAAGTCAACACAACGTCAACTGGCCAAAAAATCTTCAATGTCGATTGTTTTGGACGACAGAGGTACGGCGCGAACTACCATACATACCCGGTCGGGAGGACAACGGCAAGAAGTGAAACAACGCTTCAACACCGCTCGGACGAAAAAAAGCAAAAACGTGGGTGCATGCGGCGACGACACTGTCGCAGCACTTCCATGCGGTGGTACACAGATGCTGCCTGCCGTATTCCACACTCCTTTCGGCTAATGGACCATCGATTGCCCAAGTGCGAGCGATCCCGTCCTCTCTTCTACAGTGTTCTCCGGGACGGGGCCAGAGGGCTTTAACATGTGCGCGCATGACGGGTACCGGCCTGGGAACATCACGATGGAAAACACGCATGCTTCTCTCTCGTTCCTCTCTCTTCGCTCCCTTCCTCGCTCTCCATATACAGCTGCCTGCATGAACACACACTTGACTCTCATCCCACTTATCGGTGTACCATTCTGTCTTGGGCCTCTCTCCACCTCTCCTCCGCGCTACACCACAACACCCACCTGCTCGTACTCGCTCAAGAGCTCGTTCAGTTGGGACGGCGTGAGCCTGAAGTACGGTTCCTCCCGCCGCCTTAGGTGCTGCCGTGTGGTGACGAAGGTCACCTTGTCTACGGTCATGCCCGTCTGCACCTGACGGTATACCGCCGCCGCGACACACACACAAAACAACAGCGCAGTAAAGAACAGAAGGGATAAGATACAAGGTCAATAGCAGTATGAGTGCTCAACTATCGTACACTTACGACGATATTTCGTCTGATGGCCGCGCGCGGGTTCATGTACATCATGGTACATGTTAAACTACACAGACTGGTTTTGTATGCTTCCGCACAAACTGGGCTACACTCTGGTGGGGACGGTTTTGGGGTGGCCTCGACTGCGGGGTCGGGGGCACCTTGTTGTTCGAAATGAATTAAAAGTTCCCGTTAGGACTTCTCAACGAGGGTGTCTCAAACGACTGCCAGTGTGCCTGTTTCGCATCATGTGAGTGTTGACGCTGCGTACTCGCCTACATGTACCCCTATAAAACATCCAATTGCGCCGCATTTTTTGGCCAGAGTGTTCGGTGATTTGGGGTTGCCCGCGACCCACACACGACTCTCGCGCGAACCCGAAAAGCGGCAGGATTAAGCACAGGGCGTGTGTTGATCTGTGCCTGGCAAAGTCATCCTCTATCAAGTCTTGATGAGGACTATCGGCAACCACCGTACCTTGAACTACGCCAGTAGGGTACTCAGCCGAAGCATAGCATGCCAGCGTTCGGCCCTCTCGCCACTCACACTTCCTTTTACAGCGGTACTTGCCTTGCTTTTAACGCCAGCGTATCGCGGGTTCCGGGGGACGCGTTTGTCAAGAGCGTTCGTTCTTACACTCCCCTGGTTGGATCCCATCTTGAGACTCATCCCTGACCACCACCCTACCCTTTCCCGCCCGTGGGCCCGCTGCTGCTGCTGCTGCTGCTGCTGCTGCTGCTTTCCCCGACCGTTGCAAAAAAAACAGCTGTTTGTTCCTGCAGGGCCTTCCCTTTCTTGTATCGAACAGCTGCGCGCTGAAGAAGCCCCTCTCCTGTTTAGCGATAGCGTAACCACTCTGCTGGTGCTGGCGCTGGTGCACTGCTGTGTCCTCTATGTGTCTGGTGAGAGGGAGATCCTTTGTGTGTGACGGTGCTGGCTGCCGGGGTTGACATGTTTTTTTTTTATCCGAAACCGTCAACACGAAAAATCGAACACCAAATTCAAATTTGTGTTCGAAATCCTATGAAAACTGCAGTCAAACACCACCTGCTACATGCCTTCATGAGCCCGTGTCACCCGGGTGCCACCATTGTTTGATGCGGAAGGAGATGTAAACACACCGACAGACGATATGCAACATCGTTACTGCTGAATTGGGGACTGCACTGATGATACATGTAGAGCACTTTTTTTTATTTCCGAAAATTTTGGATACAACGATGATTGAGCCGCACGGGGCGTATCACACGACATCTAAATGTCTTCTGAACACACACAGCGCAGCATTTAGCAGTCTTGCAACCCTTTTGCTGCCTTCCTCCCTCTCTCGCCCTCTCTCTCCTCTTTACCCCCGCGCCCGACGCCCAATTCCTCCAAGGATCTTCCCATCGTGCATACGGCAAACACATACAAAACTCGTGGGGAGTGCAGACTATTAACACTGTACGTACTCAGGAACGGCTAAGACTAAATAGTCTCGATAGCAACCAGACACATGGCGTTGGCCGTGGCGGACAATGCCGTGCAGCCGCACACCGACCACCAACTGCAAGAGCAGCAAGACTCCCCAAATCTAAAGGACCCCAGCGATCCAAACGACCCTGTTTTCGCATCTGTCCCAGCTGCACTACAATGCGACCGGACAACGATGGCAGGAGGTTTGGATTCGATCTCCTACGGCAACGTTGGCGGCGGTAGAGCGCTGCTGCCGGTACCCACCCGCCGCGGCCTGGACTCCTCTCCCGCGCTGTTCCTATGGGAGAGTAGGACCACCGCCGTGGACGTGATGTCCGTTTCGAACACAACGCGACCGGTTGTGGTTTCGAGGTGAGAACCTGTTGGGCGTGCAATAGTTTTCTGGGGCATTCAACGTACGTACGCTCATGACCATGTTTTACTGGTGTGGTCATTGATGATAGGTGTCCGTTGTCTGTCTCTCGTACATGTAAATTATTTACTATAGTCTGAATGCGGGGAGGGGTGTGTCTGTGGCAAGGCGACAGCGAGGCAAAGATACTAACCCGAATGCTTCAACGCGTTGGCCTTGATATTTTCCGTCTAAGTTTTAGGGTTTTTGTCGCTCGCCATATCCACGATCAATCAACCACCTTTCGTCGTCGAAGCCTCTGACTTCCCGTGCTGCGAACTTCCTACTTCTCGTACAACGAGTGACTTGGACCTCACTCCAATTGGTGGCTGAGTTCAGGAGCATCGTGACGCACTTGCTGTGCGTGTGCCTTGAGGATGCATCAGAACCGGAATAGAACAATTGACAGAGCTTCGACCTCCCCCATCCTACAGCTGTAGGACACTCGGGTACGATGTGAATCCATTATCGTGTACTTTCGGGAAAAGAGAACACCTTGGGTGCGGACTAAAAGACTGGTCCGCTTCTTGACACATCCTGCACACACCCTACCACCTCAGCAAGAAATCTTTCTATGGCGCGGCGCTCCGTCCATTTCAATACTTCTTTTGCTCGGGCGATGGCTGTCACTTTCCATCGTCTCCCTCCCCGCACGATCCAACGTGTCCCCCCGCTCTGCCCCAATTGTCGACCTTGATTGTTTACATGTCGGGGACCTCTTCGTTCCAGTTCGAGAAACAGCGAACGCCGCCGGATACAGGTCGTCCTCCCCTACGGCGTCGGCTCGGGGGCAACCGGAGGGGTGGCAGGAAACGGCGGGGGGCAGAGGGGCGGGAGCGCAAGCGGCCGCGCGGGAGCGGCGGGCACCATGATGAGCCTTCTCGACCCCCCGAACCCCACCGCGCTCGAGGCTCGGCTGAACGAGGACCGTCGGGCGAAGCGCGGCCGGAACCTCCGGCTAGAGCGCCACGCCTTCCTCTCGCGGCTCACCCGGGAGCGAGAGGAGCGGGTCCTCCTGGAGGCCTGGGCGGCGTCGACGATCCAGGCGCTCTTCCGGGGGTTCCTGACCCGGCCCCGCCCGAAGCGGCCCCGCCCGCGGAAGGAGCTCACGCCGGCGGAGTCAAACCGCAGGCTCGTCGCAGACCTGCAGGCGATCCTGGCCCGCGCTGGCCTGCCGACCATCCCCGGGCTCGGGCCCGACGGGAGGAAGGCATCGGAGGGTACCGCTTGGGGACAGGGGCGGGGGGCAACAAGCGGCCACGGTGGCGGCGGAACGGCGGGAGCAGGGGGGAGGGGCCTGAAGCGCTCGAGGTCGCGGAGGCAGCGGGCGTTCGAGGACGAGATGAGCACGCGAATCACCAGCGTGGTCCGGGGTTTCCTGGAGCGGAGGCGTTTCGGGAGGAGGTGGGCGGTGTGGGACAGGAAGCGGCGGTGGTCGAGCGCGTCTCGCATACAGAACTGCTGGAGGGCCTACCGCAAGCGCATGGGCTGGCGCGAGCTCGAGTCCGAGGCAAGTTGTCCCTTTTGAAGGGCGAACCGTACGCAGCCAGAGAGCTAGCGTACAGTCGGTGATCCAACCCGATGCTGTTGTTCACGTGCATTTATTTAATGAAACTCTGAGCCTCCTGAAGATTTTCTGACGTGTATAGGGAACACTATTTGCCCCACGCGCATCACAGCATATTTCAAGGTTATAGTCGGGGTGCAGTCTAAGTACGTAGGTTTCAAGACCTTGTCATGCCACTGGCCCGCGACCCGAGAAGCAAGGGAACAATTACGTCGTGTGGCGGTGGTGGTTCAGGTGATGGACCATGCGGCGGCCAAGATACAGGCGCGCTGGCGCGGCGTGGCCTGCCGCATGGGCCTCGCCCGCAAGGCCACCGACGACGCCCTCGGGAAGAGGAGAATGGTGTCGGCAGTCACCATCCAGGCGGCGGCGAGGAGGCGTGCCGCGATAGTAAGGTGTAAACCGTTGGACAGGTCATTATCACTCGCAGTCAAGTATCTCACCGTTTGACTCCTGTTTGTGTACCGTAGTGCCTCTCTCGACCCTCTCAACAATGATGCGGCCAAAGGAACGTCGGGGTATCATTGTCGGGTAACCCACAGACCAACATCGCGCAGCGTAGGGGCAGCCTACCAAGATGTCGATCTCAAGCGAGCGCACAAGCAAACCGTCCATCCTTTCCCCGCCCGTCTTGGTCGGTTTTCCCCCGGTGGGAACGCGTGGCGCGTGCCCGACAGGTACGGTTCGAAGCTAACACTTGGCGCCGCCAGGCGAAAACGGGAGGCGAGGGTCGCGGCTGAGGCAGCGAGGCCTCGCCGGCGGTGGAACCGGGGGGGGGG